CAGTTTCTTGTATATTGTCTGACATATATTTGTATTGTGGTCCACCCTCCAAGTTATGACACTTGCTCTTTCCTTCTTCCCTCCACTCCCCATTCCCCTGGTCCCAACTCTACTTTGTACTACAAGTTTCATTTTTAGATTGTCAAACTGTGAACGTTGGAGTTTTTAGAACGTGTCTGACAATGTAATTTTTTTGGAAACATGATTTGTTACATGTCCGATAGATATGTATGATCAATGCAGCTTACCTTTTCTTGAGAACAAAGAAAAAGAAAGGATACAAGCATAGCAGAAGATGTAGCGAGATATGCCGGTTCAACTCCCTGTTTTGGCTAAAACTTTCACTGCTTGTACGGTTGCGGAGACGTGGAAGTTGCCTGCAGCAAGGAGTTTTTAAGGATATGTTACCCGAATTGTGAGTCTTCTGGTTTCTTTAATATGTTGGTTTGGTGGAAACTGAAAGAATTTGTTAAATTTTCTTGAGAAGTATATTGTAGATACAGCCGTTTCCCTGCAAATTTCACACAAGGGAAATGTTGATGACTTATTGCCCTATTTTGGGAACCTTTAAATCTGCAATGAATTTGGAGAATACCTTTTTGAGTTTTGAGACTGCAGATTTAACCATCAACTGGCTTCCACCCAGCAGGCTTTGGACTTGGAGTAGCAGTTAAGGCTGAAAGAATGATCTGTGTGAACTGTGATTGACAGTGACTTAAATTATTCAACTTAACGCCCAGTCTGAGTTGAAATAAACAAACAATATTACTACATATTTGAAGTATTTTTTATTTGCAGATTTAAGTTCGTGCTCTTTAACATAAAATTTTATGACCGTATAAACCATACTTGTAACATAATATAGAGTATTTTCAATCTCATATTCAGTTTCTATTAAAGAAAACATGGAAATGAGAGCATAGTCTCCAACTTTTAAGGTGTAGTGATTCACATAGGCCTAATGCAACCATACAAATGCTTATATTATCCCAGAAGGATGTGGAAATCCCCACCCCTTCCCTTAATCTGCAAACTCCTCAAATTCCCCACCTCATTCAAACCCTAGATCAAACATTCAAGCATCCAATGAATTAACAACATTAAAAAAAAAACAAATACAACCCCATGAAAGGAAGATGATTGGGAAAGCAATTTGATGCAATGATGATATGAATAATCTAGTGAGCAAGATACTTTAATTACTTTGGTTGTTTAAACTTTAAACCAAAGGGCAAAAGGCAATCCATGGAACTGGTCCAAGTGGAGCTGTGATTTAATTATAAAAACTAAACACTGCATTGAGCATTGGACAGTCCAGAAACAAGGGCCATATTCAATCAAACTATACGGTCAAACGAATATTTGTTTTTGAAAGCTAAAAGAATTCTTTTCTGCAAAGTGAAATGTCAATTTTGCACCTCTCCAAGCCAAATATCATAAATGTTTGATGCTACTAATTCGAGGCCAATTTTTGACCACCCATTTCCCCTTTGATTGAAAAAAAATTGTGGGTTTCTTTATTTAGTAGATTGAAGGGAAGATTTGAGGAATAATTTCAAGTATGTTAAATAAATAAAGGGTTGTAGGCACGTGCATGTGGCCTCCCCCATATAAGAAAGGGATGGGCATGACAGTATATAAATAAAGGATTTTAGTTTGTATACAAATATTAAATAAAATTGTAATTATTTGGTTGGAGTTAGTGAGTTGAAGGACAAACCAAAAGTCGAGACAGAGGAGAAAAACCAGAGAAAAAAATTAGAGAAGGAGATGATGGTTGGACTTGGACTCATTGAATCTCACATGCATTGTTTTGAAAACCAGCCAGAACTGTTGAACCGTTCGAATCGGATCGGCTGAAAATCGAAAAAAATGGGTAAAAACCGGAATTTTTTTTTAAATTAAACCAAACAACGTCGTTTGTTAAAACGAGCCAAGTCGAACTCGAGTATTGCTGAGCTCGACTCGAACTTGAAAACTTTAAAAGTAAGCTCAACTCGACTCAAACTCACAAGCTAAAAATTATCAAGTTCAACTCAAACTCGAAATATAATATTGAAACTTAAACTAAAAAAGGCTTGAACTAAAAAAAAAATTAGAAGCTCGATTGAAGCCTAAAATTCAAACTTGATTGAAGTGAAAGAATAATTCACTCAATGCTCACCAAAAGGCTCCATGATTTTAAATGCCAAATTACCTCTATTATTTATAGAAGTTAGTTGTGATGCTCTTCTATGTTTCTTAGCAATGTGGGATTGTTTTGTTCTCATATTTTTACTCTTTAGACTTTTGAGATTCTATTCTATGTTTTTTAGCTATGTGGGATTGTTTTTAAAAAAAATTAAACCAAACAATATCATTTTGTTATGATTTTTTTAACCCCAAATTTATTTTTTAATTATAGTTATATAATTATATTTATTATTTAATATGTTTTACCTTAAATATTATGTTATAGTTAATTTGAATCATTTTGTTTCACTTGATTTTATGGTTTTTAACTTATATATGTTATGACTTGCTTTGAATATGACTTGTGATATAAAAAATTATTTTTTATTAAATATTTTTGGTATTTTTATTTAATTTTTTAAATAATTATGACGTCGTCTGGTTCTTTCGACCGGTCAGACCAGTTCAACCGGTTGAACCAATAAATCGATAGCATGACCGGTTCGCTAACCGGTCCGATTTAAAACCATACGCACAATAACCATAATAATGCCCCCTACATTTTTTATTAATATACCAGCAATTACTTGAGCGTCATTGAGCGTAAATATTAATCTTGCGGAAATATCAAACTCCTCTGTTTCTAGATATTATACTATTTTTTTATAAAATTAATTCACTGTTTAAAATTTTTAAAATGAAAAAGTAAATAACATAGAATCAACATAAAATATATCAAACATGATAGAATATTCATATAATAAATTTTATCTATTTCTACGGATAAAGTAAATAATATTTCACTATAAATATAACGTTAACACAAATCTAAATAGTTAGAATTTTATACATCTCAAAATATTATATATAAATCAAATTTAGTCATTCTAAAATGTTCTCTCAATATTCCTATAGAATTTATATATGCGACAAAGACTCAAATAAATAAAAACATGATTATATATTTTTTTAAATAATTGTCCCTAAAAATTTTAATTTTTTATACCTTCCAAGAGTTTTACTTAATAAAATTTAATTATTAAGTAATTTTTAATATTTAATCAGTAGAAGTATGGTTAAATCATACCACAACCAATTAGTCTCATAGGATACGACATTCAACAAGGTTAAGAGTTTAATTTCTGACATTGTATGAAGTAAAATGGATTGAAATGGTAACCCTCATAATGGGTCTCTACATTACCGAATATGAATCAGTCAATTAATAAATCAAATATTAATAATTATTCTAAAAATATATAAAATTTAATTTAATTATGAATTAATTTTTTGAATAGTATATATTGATTACAAAATAGTATCTATTCATAATCTTTATTTAATTATTGACAACACACACCCGTATACATAATTGCTTGAGCCCAGAACCTTGAAAGAGAACATCATTTCCTTTCAGTACTGAGACCACTAAATAGTTTGATTATAAAATAAAATTTAAATCAATATGTAATAAATATATAAATAAATCCTTTTAACCAGAGCCGTCTCGAATATCTTCGGGGCCCTGAGTGAAAATAAAAGTAGACCCTGAATAAAGAAATATACTCTTAAACAATTAATTTAATATCGTAGAAAAATTATTAATTTTTTTAATATTAATTTCATTTTCTTGTTAAGAACACATCTTAAATATGACTAAGAGAATAAAAAATCGAATGTGGGTATAAATTATGATATGGAGTTTTATTATAAATAATAAATTAAAAAATAAAGAATAACATATTATGTTATCGTTAGATTGAGATTGGAGAAGACTAAGAACTAAAGAATATTTGGTAAATTAAAAAAATAAGATTTGTAAAAAAGAGAGACAAAAATAATTGGATTTAATTCAAAATTAAATGAATTAATGAGAGAAATGGAGAAAGATATGAGAAATTGAGAATTTTATGAAATTGTAAAAAATTAGAGGCCTTAATTATAAAGGTAGAAATTGAGATTAAAAAAACAGGAGCCTCAATTAGTAAGTTAGAAAGTGAGATTAAAAAACTTAAGGGCCTCAATTATAAAGTTAAAAAAGTGAGTTTAAAAAAATTAGGGGCCTCAATTATAATGTAGAAATTGAGATTGAAAAACTTAGAGGCCTCAATTGAAATGTAGAAAGTGAGATTGAAAAAACTTAAAAGCCTAATTAAAGTTAAAAGTGAGGCTACAAAATTAGGTGCCTCAATTATAAAGGTAAAAAAGGGATTAGAAAAAATTAGAGACTTCAATTATAAAGATAAAAGTTAGATTGATTATCCCCAATTATAAAGATAAAAATTATTGAATAATATTATGACCCCAATTATAAAGGTGAAAAATAAAATTTAAAAAATTAAGAACCTAATTATAAAGATGAAAAATAGAAGGCCCAAATGGTCCATGTCGTAAAGAAACTATATGATTATACTTCAATTATATACCTAAGCATTTAAAAGTCAAGTTTACTTTATGAAGAAAAGTTTACCTTTTTAACTCGAATAGTTAATCACTTTAACCCTATGTTTATTGCCAACAGTATGTTTTTAGCTACTTTAACAAAGCATCAAACATTGGAAGCTCATCTCTAAAACCAAAGTATTAAGTGCATCTTAAAATGATTATAAACCCGAATCCATCTAATCCGAACCGTATAATATTTGTTATTGGAATTATATCCATTATATCCATGCTGTTTTCATCATCATCTCCCATTAGTTTAAATATTAATTCCTCGGATTCATACCTCCAATGCTGTTTCTCATTCACTCGCTTTCTTTTGCTTTTTTTCTTCTTCTCGTCTACACGCGGGCACTTCAATATCATATTTCATCGAAACATAAAAAGGAAAAAAAAAGACAGGTTTTAAAGAGGTTTTCATTATGATTAATGGTATTTAAGAGAGAGAGAGAGGGCAAGCGTGCGTGCGGGAAGGAAAGTAAGGGAGGAGAAAAAGAAAGAAAGAAAGAATCATCAATCATGGAGATGATGAGTTCATTAATGTGGATTCTGGTGTTGGTGACAACACTTGTGTTTTGCATCATATTTCTCAATGGCAAAAGCAAAAGCAAGTTGAGCAGTACTCTAAGATGGATACCTTCATCGAAAACCTTATGCCAGCTTCCTCTAGGAACCCTCGGGTGGCCTTTTGTCGGGGAAACCATCGACTTCATTTCTTGTGCTTACTCAGACCGCCCCGAGAGCTTCATGGACCGTCGTCGCCGCATGTAAACATATCTCTCGTCCTTACCTTATTGTTTTCGTGGAATATCATGCTAAACAGATTAGGGTTTTTGTTTCCATTCACTATGAAGATATTGGTCAACTTTTATTATTACTGATATGGGTTTATTGCAGGTATGGCAACGTGTTCAAATCACACATATTCGGGACCCCAACTATAGTTTCAACAGATTCAGAAGTCAATCGGTTCGTTCTACAAAGTGATGCCAAGGCTTTAGTGCCGTTTTATCCGAAATCATTAACCGAGTTGATGGGGAAATCCTCCATTCTTCTGATCAATGGGAGCTTACAAAGGAAAATCCATGGTCTTATAGGATCATTCTTCAAGTCTCCACATCTCAAAGATCAGATCACTCGAGACATGCAAACTTATGTCCAACAAGCAATGGATAAATGGGGAGATGATCAGCCTATTTTCATACAAGATGAAACCAAAACTGTTAGTGCCTTTTAATTCCTCTCATTGAGTGAAATTATTAAGCAGAAATATTCCTTTTCCATTGAAGTTTGTTCTTTGCCATTTGTTTTCCTTGCAAAGTTGTTTAGGATAACATTTTTTTCTTGATAAGAGTTCCTGCACACAGACAAAGCATAAAACAAAATATCCCATATCTCTTCTTAATTTCATAAGCAGTAGCAGACACAGTCAAAACCAGAGCACGTGCGCTCAAACATTCTAATCCTCAACTTGTTGAATGTCACCCAGAGTTCTATGAATCAATAAGTATTGGATTCTTTCATTGAAGTTTGAATATTTTGTTTCTCTCTGGCCTCTACTTAAGTTTAAAATTAAATATATGCTTCTGCTGGAAGGTGAAAGCAACGCAGTTGAGATCGTGGGGTTTACAATAATTTTGCATGAATCATTTTGTCTGGTTGCTTCATAATGATTGTGGTTTTTTTTTTTTTACATATAGCCGATCCTTTTGAAAAGTTAAAAATGAAAATACCTTTTTTTATTTTCTGTTTCCAGATTGCTTTTCAAGTACTAGTGAAGGCATTGATTAGCTTGAACCCAGGTGAAGAAATGGAAGTTCTCAAAAAACAGTTCCAAGAATTTATCTCAGGCCTTATGTCTTTACCTGTAAAAGTACCTGGAACTCGACTTTATCGATCTTTGCAGGCAAGTTGCATGTTCAGATTCACTTTTTATATAAAAAAACTCTTATGGTGGGGACTGGTGTATCTTAAAAGAGGCAAAACCGTTGAAAACTTGTCAATTTCAGGCAAAGAAGAGAATGGTTAAGATTGTACACAGAATCATCCAATCTAGAAAGAATTCAAGCACGAGTTCAATGGTTCCACGAGATGTTGTTGATGTTTTGCTCAAGGACGTTAGTGAACAATTAACAGATGATCTAATAGCCGGTAACATGATCGATATGATGATTCCCGGTGAAGATTCAGTTCCTGTTTTAATGACACTTGCAATCAAATACCTTTCGGATTGTCCGGCTGCGTTACATCAATTGACGGTATGAAACATTTTATGATAATTATCAAAGACCAAACTTTAGATTATATTAATATCAACTCCATTTATCATACATGAATACCAATTACCATTTCTTAGGAGGAGAACTTGAAGTTGAAAAGGCTCAAAGCTCAAAACGGGGAGCCATTGATTTGGAGTGACTACTTATCATTATTTTTCACACAAAGTGTAAGTAATTCAACCGATAAAATTGAAATTATATGCAGCTTTTTAATAGATGATTAATTTGGATTAATTATATTGTTTCAAGTAGGTTATAACAGAGACTCTGAGGATGGGGAACGTGATAATAGGAGTGATGAGAAAGGCCATGAAAGACATTGAGATTAAAGGGCATCTTATACCTAAAGGATGGTGCTTTTTTGCTTATTTTAGATCGATTCATCTCAGTGAAAATCACTATGATTGTCCTTACCAGTTTAATCCATGGAGATGGCAAGTAAGAGACACACCATGTAATAATTAATTTCTTCTTCTCTTTTTAAGCATGAAAATAATAGACATTTGGGGGCTCATCATCATGCACAGGAGAAGCACACGATCAGCAGCTACAACTTCACTCCATTTGGTGGTGGACAAAGGTTGTGCCCTGGACTTGACTTGGCCAGGCTTGAAGCTTCCATTTTCCTACACCATTTTGTCACTAATTTCAGGTATAATAATATAGTCTTCCAATTGGAATTTTTCATACTTTTTAGGTCAAAAACGCATTGAACACATAAAGTTGGTGGTATTAATTTTAGTCTTAGATGACATTATTGATTATATTAATGCCCATGTATCAAAGACCAGCTCATACTACAAGAATGATGCTATACAAGCTATAACAGAACACCTTAATTAGTTTAGAGTATTTTCACTAGCTAGGGTGGGCCTTTTCATAGGAAAAATTGAATAATTTAACGCATGATCTTGGTTTTATCACCCTTAATGTTTTACTATTTTATATTATTATTGTGTTTTCTCATTAATTTATAATATTACAGAATAATTTAATCATTCTAACTTTAGTTTAATCCGTGACGGGTTATTATTCATAATAATGTTAATTTGATTAAAAATGTGCAGATGGGTGGCGGAAGAAGACACAATAGTCAACTTTCCAACAGTAAGAATGAAGAAGAGGATGCCGGTTTGGGTGGAAAGGAGGGAGTAGACTGACTCTTCCTCCACGTTAACCTCAACATCTGCTTTTGGCTAAGCCATAAATAAAAGTTTTTAAAGCTTTATCCAACAGTACGCATTTAAACCGAACATAAATAATGAAGGCTACAGTGCACACGTGTGGGGGGAGCTTTTTTGACAAAGTCCAAATATGTTTTTGTAATCTATAAAAGTAAACAAAATGGGGAATAGTATTGATCCCAAATTATAAGGAGATTCACAAACAAGAGAATCCAATGCTTAATTAGGCATCAAGCTGGTCATCATAGTGTTTGCAAAAAAGAAAGGCAATATAGTTTGTAGCTGTGAGCATTTTCTGTGAATGATTGCACCCATGCAGCCCCACCAATGATCGGCGATGGATTAAGACTCAGAATAACTGTCCTCCCATCAATGCAACACACATGTGAAAGGGAGAAGGAACAAAACAACCATATTTCTCAACTCTGCCTCAATGATTTAATTTGAAAGCATGTAAGATTTTCACCGTAGCTTTGAAAATCAGCATTTCCTAAAAGAATTACAAAAACCCTACTACACATTGCTTTCAATACTACTACTACTATATAAAATGATATATATATAGATACACGTACCATGAGAGTAAGGAACCCCGGAAAATGATCTTTTTACAAATGATCTGCTGCACATGAAGTCCTCCTGGTTCCCTACCTTAGCCCGTCATGCGAGAGCTTCCCACTGAAATCTTCTAACACCTCATTTGCCAGGGATCCACTGTAATACTGTTGCTTTGCAAATATCTGGCCACGGCGCTTGCCAATGTCGAAACCCGTCGATGCATAATTCGTGTCCATAAGCATGTCGCCTTCCAATATACGGAGCACCTGATCCAGAAGAACATTTAATGGATCAGAAAATATTCTGTAACTTAGCGGCTTTAAAATATAAAAAACTGAAGGTAAAACAAATTAAACTCTTCTCTACAACGTTTCTCATCACCTGTGACATTCGAGGCCTAGAATGAGGATCCCGCCTTATGCATAACGATGCGGCATGAAGCATGCGATAGACCTCGTGTTCGGAGTAGCGATCCTCCAATCTTGGGTCCACCAATTCATCTATAGCATATTCTTCCAGAAGTGGACGGGCCTGTTCAAGACACACATAATAAGAAATAAGCAAAAATGAACTACCAAATCCACACAAACCTAGATAACACATTGAAAAGGCCAGAAAGAATTGTTTTGGTCCTTCATATATATGGCAGATGTTAGCGAGATGTTCATAAATTGTTCTTAGAGTTACACAGAAGAAGAGAATAAGCTCTCGAACTAGTGATTTGCAGAAAAATGTAGAATTAGAGTTTAAAACTATACCCGTTCAGTTAAACATTGCTGGCCTTTTGGCCTATTAAGGTCCATGGCTTTTTGTCCGGTAAAGAGTTCAACTAACACCACTCCAAGGGAATAAACATCAGCTTTTTCGGTAATTTGGCCAGTTTCAGCATATTCTGGTGCCAGATACCTATGCCACACCGTAAACCATCACTAATTTCATTAATTGCATATGTTAAGGTAAACTGTGAAAAACAAAGTTGTCATGTTCCGAACACTCTTGTTTCCACTCCAGCGTCACCGTCAGGCAGCCATCTTACAAGGCCAAAATCACCAACCTGGCAAAACAAATCTCACACCTAACTAATAAGATATATCAGAAGTTTAATGTCAATGCACCAAAACCCTCTTAAAATTTTATCACCAAAACGCATTCTTTTTCATAGTCTCTTTTGGTGCATTTATAGTGTTTTACTAGCACCAAAGAAAGGAAAGAATTCTACCAAATGTTCTCATACTAAAGGTTCAAAATCATGGGTAATGAGAATGTTGTTTGGCCGCATATCACGATGAACAATGCAGCCAACTCTGAATTCTTCATGAAGGTGTAGCAATTTTTTGCCGCGCAGACCATTCTAACGGTTCATGATGATGCCCTGAAACACATCAAATTTGTGATACATTCAAAGCTATGGTTTCTAGATAGAAATAAGCACGTCAAGAAAATAAATACTTTTATCTAAAAACTTGAGTGTGATCATGTAAAATCCGCAATAACAGCCGCAACTAAGTTCACTATCTATGATTTTCTTGCACTTCTTGCCCCTTACCATCCGTGATAGGGGGAAATCAGGGTTGACGGGGACACCTTTTTCCAGTCCAATCATCAAATCCGAACAGTTCGGAAATCACATTGTCAAAAAGGAAAGATAACAAGCTTCTGTTTCATAGGCTTATAGCAAAGTCTTTAAGGGCCCATAAATGATGACTATATCAACCAAAGGTGCACACCAAAGATTAGTACAAGCATAGGATGATGAGCAAAAGACTAGTGAAATACCTTATAGATGAGAATCTAAAGATCCATTGCATATGTATTCATAAACCAACAGCCGCGGTCTATCCTCAATGCAGAATCCAATCAGCATAACAACGTTTCTGTGCTGATCACAGCTGAGGACTTCAATTTCCGAGCAAAAATCATGATCTCCTTGAGAACTAGCCAATTTGTGTTGCTTGACTGCAATTGCCTGTCCATCTGGGAGTACTCCTCTATAAGCGGATCCAAACCCACCCTCAGCCAAGAAATTAGCTTGGGAAAATCCATCAGTTGCAAGCTCCAGTTCAGCATGGGTAAACCACCTTGGTGGTTTTCCAAATCCAGGTGCCTTATGCTGACATATTGAACACAATGGACGAGGACCAGGAGGGGAATTTCTGGATAATGCAACCGCTTCTCTCACACTTCCACTAAATTCAATATCACTCCTAAAGCTTGACATCCCAATTCCAGCTTCTCTATCAAGTTTCGAAAATTTCTCAAGTAAGGCTTTTGTTGTTGAAGCTTGAGCCCTGACATTAGCTCGACCAGAAGGTTGTTCGAGGTATAGCGAGGACTGATGATGAGAAGTAAGATATTCGGTTATCCATGCTTAAACTCACTGAAGACAATGATAAATTTTCACTCTCTGGTCTGAAATAGATTCATCAAGGTCCTGGTTTTCCTTGATGACTAGTGATTCCTCTTTCTTCGAGTCTGTATTACTTTCTGAGGTGCAGAAAGGTGAAATACCTGGATCAGAGCTAGACACTGAAGAAGTTCCTGCTTCAGTAGCAGTGAATGACGTCCCAAGCTCTGGACTGCTAATTGGAGTGACAACTGACCGTATATCTCCAATAGATTCGGATGATGCATTTTTTTGTTTTTAGGATGCTTTTCAGATATTTCATCTGTCTCGGGATTTAATTGACAAGCTTCAGCTTCCTTCTCAGATGCCCCAACCAAATTTAAGCGCAGCACTTTTGCCTGAGAACGCTTCATAATCACTATGTTGCATTGCAACTCCTCCATTCAGCGCTTTTCCTCGTGTTTGAGCTGCCTGAAAAAAATTAAAGAAAATGAGGATACTGCAAGCATGTGCATATACCTTTTTGGATAGAACACAAAAGGAAAAGAAAGGAAGAAGAAACAATGCAAACACGATGTTACTTGTCCAATACAACCCAACTAGCTTGAGCTTGCTTAGCTTCTGCAGCTACAGCTCCACATGGTGATGATGCATTTTTGTTTTTAGGATGCTTTTCAGATATTTCATCTGTCTCGGGATTTAATTGACAAGCTTCAGCTTCCTTCTCAGATGCCCCAACCAAATTTAAGCGCAGCACTTTTGCCTGAGAACGCTTCATAATCACTATGTTATATTGCAACTCCTCCATGCAGCGCTTTTCCTCGTGTTTGAGCTGCCTGAAAAAAATTAAAGAAAATGAGGATACTGCAAGCATGTGCATATACCTTTTTGGATAGAACACAAATGAAAAGAAAGGAAGAAGAAACACTGCAAACACGATGTTACTTGTCCAATACAACCCAACTAGCTTGAGCTTGCTTAGCTTCTGCAGCTACAGCTCCACATGGTGTTCCAGAAACATTTTTATATTGACATTAGTACGTGCAGTGAAATTCAGAATCGAAGCATTAGCAGGCAATGGCATTTTCATAAAAACAATAACATAATCAAGCACTCAGAGCCAGGTATTTACCTTGTTGGGATCATAAACATCGTGGAGCCGGAGGATCATTTGGGAGAAGGAATCACCGATACCAGAATTTTGCTCCGAACTTGATCCTGTTTGGGACTTGCGGCTACTGCTGGCGCAGTCACCAGAAAATCTTGGAAAAGGCCATTTCCTACCTGTAGAATTGTGGCATTTAACTATGACTCTAAAGTCTAAACTAATATAAACTATTATACAGAAAAAATTTCCAGGTAGATATGCAAAAGCAATAACGCAAAACAAGAAAAAAGAAACGCCTGAACAATGTGAAGAAACAACAAGCAACGTAATGCAATCTCCGGGTTGAACAACATGAGACAATGCCCACACCAGAGAAGTCTTGGGAATTTCTTTGGATGCTTTAACAGCAACCACAACTTTCTTGGCCATATCCAACCCAGTTTTTCCCTTCTGTTCTTGACTAATATCGTTTCAATCGACAGATTCAACTCTTAAAATACTATCTTAATAACAACTACCATCGTAGAGGCCCAAAACACGTCTTAAAAGGAACAAACAACAAAAAAATTGCATTATTGATCTGCCCCTACCATATTGGATTGAAGGACATGTGCCACTGCCACCAACATGGCTAACTACTATTCCATTCCAGATAATCTGCTGAGAAACAGAGAGAAACCGGCATCTATGACAACACCCTTTTCACTGATTCAAGTGAACTCACAAACTCGCTCGCTCTCTAAAAATTTTCAACTTTTCAAAGGCCTCCAAGTATGTATATTCCACTGGTGATTCCAAAGTTGATGAAGATCTAGCCGCCCTTTCTGTCACTAAAACAATAAAGTTATAGTCCTTTTTCGCTTAAATTAAGCACGGGCTGGGAATCAAACTACTGTTTGGCATGAAACTTCAAAACGACAGCAACCCCCAAAAAGGGAATCAATACAAAAGAATCTGCTTTCCCTCTCTTTTCTGAATGGGGTTCAAATCACGATGTCAACCCAGTGAAAGTAACAGCTTCAAAACAAGAAAAAATAAGCTGTTTATTTCTTGATCCGAGCATCAGTTTCCACCCCTTTCTTCTTTCAGTTCTTCACATAAACATAAATTTTTAGCACATTGATTCTCCTGTGCAGGCTTCCACACAAAGAAGATCAAATCACATGCGTTGTAAGTAGTCATCTAAACGAACCGAATGCACACGAACAGAGGTATATCTATGTTAGTTAATTTAATAAATAAACGAACATAAACGAACAATTTTTTTTGTTCATATTCGTTCTTAAGGAATATAGTTTACTTATGTTCGTTCATTAAATGATAAACAAACATAAATGAACGTAAACGAACACAAACGAACGAAATAAACGAACAACACAACACAAAAAAAAACTTATTCAAACACAACAAATAAATGTAAAAAAAAAAAAGAAACAACAAGATTTTAAAGTTAATATAACATGCAACTTTAGAGCTAATTTATTCGAATACGACAAAAACATACATAGATTTTAAATAAGTTATATGAACATAATAAAGTCTTAAAGTTAATTTGTTCAATAAAACAATCTTCTTGAAATCCAAACAATTTCAATAATTTTCGTAACATATTTAATTTGTCATCTGTTCGAACATAAATTAACATAAATGAACGAATATAAATAAACATAAATGAACGAATATAATCCAACGTTCACGAACGTAATGAACGAATGAGCACTTTGTTCGTATTCGTTCATTTAATTAAACGAAAACAAAATCTTATTCATGTTCGTTCATTTACGAACATAAACGAATTTTCCGTCTCACGGTTTATTGAACTTTCAGTTCATAACACCTTTCCTGTAGAAGGATTTGACACTTGAATTGTTCACAGCTAACAAAAAGCATCAGATTTGAAGCTGTAAATAGAAGACAAAACAGCACACTTTTCAAGCAACAAACCTAGTTCAAAATCCCGAAAATTTTGTTAAAATTAAATAAAATGGAGATCAGTTCTTGGACTGGAAGTGCAGGAAAATAACAAGAACAAGCAGAATTATCTGCTAACAGTACAATTTCTTTTTATATTTCCTTTTGCATAAAACAAAAACTATAACGATAAAGAATGAAAAAAAATTCCCTCCAAATATACAACTGAAGCTCGCCTTTTAAACCAAAAAGGATAATGAATATCACCCAAGCATATCCAACGGTTGAGAAACGGCTGCGTATGGATCTCCTTAGGGTTTAGAAAACCCTAAATTTTGTATTACTTGATCTGAATCGTTAGATGAAAGGCCCAAATCCGACGGCTTCCATTGTGCGGCGTTGAGACTTTCAACAGAAAACCTAATGGGTTTAGGGCTTTCACCATTGAGTCATCTTGTATTTGGGCATTTAGCCTTGTAATTGCTTTTGGCCTATAATAAAAACAAAGAACATTTAATAAATATTATTTATATATAATATTATTTATAAATATACTCAACATAATATAATATATATGTATATATAATATAAAACATGCATACATATCAATGCTAAGGTATTTATAATATAATATATAACTACGTATCAAGTATAATATATAATCAATAGTATGTAAATGCACAATACCTATATATACCTAGAACAAAATATAACCATATATATATAAACACGTGTATAACTAAATATAATAGTTAACCCATATAATTAATAATAATATAACATATAAATAACTAATTATATATATATATATATATATATAAACTCAAACGAAACTCGAATAAAATCCAAGTAAAATGAGCATCTACACTGCCTTTCGTTATATATTGTTTTAGCTATGATTAATAGGCCATGGCTGGCTGCTGCAGGCTTAACATCATTATCCCCCTTTTCTTTTAATATAAAATTAGTAAATGAAAGGACAATCTCTGTCTCCCATTTATTTTCCTTTAATGTCTCATGACTTTTATTTTTCCTTCTGTTGGTATACCACTTAATTGTTAGTTACGTGTCATTACGAATCTCATACGTGGAAGTTTGTAGTTGCAACACCTAACCTCCCATTCTCGACAATTTTCGTTTTTTGTTTTTGGCTATTGGCTGTAACAAACTAACAACCCAACTTCTCTTGTCCCTTCAAGTTGTGGACCATTTACGTTTGTCCTTTAATGATTCTGTTTGAAACTTATATATGTATCCATTATTTCTCAAATATTTGGTGTTTGTCTGCTTATACACCTATCTGTTTTTTTTATATGCATGAATATTACAGTCTTTTTATTACGAAAATATCATATTTAATAACTCAATTCTGAATTTATTGAATAGTTTTATTAGTTAAAATAATTGTTGTTTTTCATGAGATTTAAAATTTAAATAATTATATTTATAAGGTGTACGTATATTATCAATTATTAAAATAATTCTGAATAAATATTATATTACATCACTCTATATTTTAAAAAAACAATTTAAGGACATGGCAGCGGAAGCTGGCTCAACAAATCCAATTATCACAATCAATAATGGTCCAGTCAAAATAAAAAAAAACACAACAATTCCAACCATCTTTGTTTCTAAATGAGAACCAAACAAGTTGCAAAACAACAGAGTTGGAACAAGAGCTTCACATTTTTTACGCCAGCATATGAAGAACATTAATGGGTAAAAAATGACTTTGCGACAGTAATAAACAATGGATATTTTTTACGCCAAACAGGAATGTATTCTTATGGTAAACAAGAATCCCCATTTTTAACCCATCTTGCAAGGTTTATCTGTTAGAATGGCTTATAATTTCATTTTCGTTCGAGCAATACTATGCGTTGAATTTGATGACTTTCGTTGCTCAATTTTGTTGGATCGATTTTAAGGTTTATATTAGAATAAATAAAAAGTTGGGAAACCTAAAACGAGGAGGAATAAACGAATATTCGTACGGAAACTAGTTCATTAGGTCACCATTGAGGACGTGTATGGCCATAATCCGTGTAGAATATTATTCTGGGTATTTTCAGTCGGCTGATTTGTTGCTATAGAGTTTTGAAAAAAATTATTTGTTAAAATAAGGTCTAACTGAAATTATTTACTGAGATAAGGTGAAATCTACAGTTCGAACATATATCGTCAGGCGCTCCTGGCGACCAAGGAGGTCGCCATGCCGTCTCTGCGAGCTGTGGTGAGCTGCTTCATTACCTATATCGGTAATTAGGCATCTCACCAGTTTGGTCGCCGGGATCACATGACGACCTATAAGGTCGCCCGACATACATGACGACCTCCATTTCAGCGTAGTTAAAAAACCTAATTACCGATGTAGGTAATCGTTGTTACTTAGGGAAATTTAGGTAATCGCGTGAAAGCCTAATTACCGATGTAGGTAATATTTGTTACTTAGAGAAATTTAGGTAATCGTTGTTCAGAGCACATGGCGACCAACATAGGTCGTTTGGAAGACATGGCGACCTATGAAAAACTGTAATATTCACTCCAAATGGGCAAATAATCCTTCGACTGCATCATCTGAGCAAAAAAAAAATTCAACACATTATTCTACATATTTTGCCATTTTCAGTCGGTGTGGTTCATGCATTTTACTTCGTGTGGCTGCTAGCCTTTTCAACTTTATTATGGTTCACTATGAAAAAGATATTTCATTTTTTAATTGAATTCTTATTTTCTATCTAAGCAAACTCACTCTTAAGTTCATAATATTACCATATAGTATTTGTTCGAAAGATTTTTAATTAAAAACATTCAAATATTCATGTAAATATTATACTTAAACCATAGATCTCTAAAGATAACAACTATTTCTTTTATCACTGATGTCGTTTGATTTAAATGATGAAATTTAAATCTTTATGTAATATTTTATATGATAAATTATGTATTTTATTATAAATATGATATTCTTTTAATTTTAATTTTAATTTTAAAAATATAAAAATAAAATATTTCAAAAAATAGATAGCTTAAAAATCATAAATAAAATAAAAGTTTATAAGATTTTCAAAAGTTATATATAAATGTTCTCTTAAAAATTTAAAAAATATAATATATATTTCAAAAAATCATCACTCTATAATTTTTAGTTTTCTATAAAAATATAAGAATTTTATTTTTGGTAGAACCTAAAAATATTTTTCTTTAAATAATATTTTAAAATATTCTCTTCATTTTTTTCTCTAAAAAAATCACATGCATGGAGCAATGGACCCCTTCTGAATTGACCAATTTTATACATTTCACTTTTATATATTTTATGATGCTTTATTTTTATTTAATAATTTAACTTAAAAATTCAAGGTGTAGATTTGACCCATGTGTCAAGCATGTCGTTATCATACTTTAATAATAACATATTTTTTATTTTTTAAGGTTTTAATATTTATATTAATAAAAAACAGTTCATTCAAATTCAGTATGGGCCATATTTTGAAAGATATTGTATTCGCATAGATAATTGTCAAATGACATCACTCATAATT